ACAAACACATGAAAGGACGCTCAACATCACTAATCATCAGAGAAATGCAAACCAAAACTACAATGAGATATCACCTCACACCAGTCAGAATGGCCATCATAAAAAAATCTAGAAACAATAAATGCTGGAGAGGGTGTGGAGAAAAGGGAACCCTCTTGTACTGTTGGTGGGAATGTAAATTGATACAGCCACTATGGAGAACAGTATGGAGGTTCCTTAAAAAACTAAAAATAGAATTACCATATGACCCAGCAATCCCACTACTGGGCATATACCCAGAGAAAACTGTAATTCAAAAAGTCACATGCACCCAATGTTCATTGCAGCAATATTTACAATAGCCAGGATGTGGAAGCAACCTAAATGCCCATTGACAGACGAATGAATGAAGAAGGTGTGGTACATATATACAATGGAATATTACTCAGCCATAAAAAGGAAAGAAATGGAGTCATCTGTAGAGACGTGGATGCATCTAGAGACTGTCATACAGAGTGAAGTAAGTGAGAAAGAGAAAAACAAATATCGTATATTAACGCATATACATGGAACCTAGAAAAATGGTACAGATGAACCAGTTTGCAGAGCAGAAATTGAGACACTGATGTACAGAACAAACATATGGAAACCAAGGGGGGAAGTGGCGGGGGGTGGTGGTGGTTGTGGGATGAATTGGGAGATTGGGATTGCCATATATACACTAATATGTATAAAATGGATAACTAATAACCTGCTGTTTAAAAAAATAAATAAAACTAAATAAAATTTTAAAAAAAAGAAATGCAAGATCAAGGTGACATCAGTGTTGGTTTCTGGTGAGACCTCTGTTCCTGGCTTGTAGAATGCCACCTTCTTGCTGTGTCCACACGTGGCCTCTTCTCTGTGTCCTCTGTGCTCAGGTCAGGAGAGGTGGGAGTGGGGAGAGAGGGAGAGAGGAAGAGTAGAGGGAGAGAGGAGGATAAGGGGGAGATAGAAGGAGAGAGAGAGAGAGACAGAGAGATACTGATTGACCGAGATCTCTGGTGTCTCTTCTTCTTATAAGGACACCAGTCCTGCTGAATTAGGGTCTCATCCTTATGAGCTTATTTAAACTTAATTACCTCCTTAAAAGCCCTATTGCCAATTACAGTCACTTCGAGGGTTAGGGCTTCAACATATGAATTTTGGGGGCACACAATTCAGTCTAAAACAAGGATTCTTTGCAGAAAGTCCTCATACTTCAGGAGCTCCCAATTCTCTAATCCTATCTCACTTAATTTTCCAGAAGATATAGGCATGTAAATTATAACTCAATAGGTGAATTCTAGAAAAACGGGGAAAGCTAGAATGAACACTGTGCTATGGATTGGAATTTGAAGTACTGGTGTGAACTCATGGATTTCAATAGGTAGAAATGTTATGAAATATAAATTTAAATATGGAAATAAAAAAATTTAAAAATAGCTGAATTCGGGCTTCCCTGGTGGCACAGTGGTTGAGAGTCCGCCTGCCGATGCAGGGGACGCGGGTTCATGCCCCGGCCCGGGAGGATCCCGCATGCCATGGAGCGGCTGGGCCCATGAGCCATGGCTGCTGAGCCTGCACGTCCAGAGCCTGTGCTCCGCAGTGGGAGAGGCCACAGCAGTGAGAGGCCCGCGTACCGCAAAAAAAAAAAAAAAAAAAAAAAAACGCTGAATTACATTATATATATATATATATATATATATATATAAATTTTATATATATTCAAATTCAACAAGTCCAGTTATTCTATTCTCCCTTTATGTTTTAAACTTTAAATTAATAAAAAACTTGGTATAAATGTAAACTTAACACTTAGGGTCTGACGTTCTGATAGTACTATCAAATGGTACAGACTACAGACAGCCTGAACAGCCAGGCTAGAAATGCAGCCTGGGAGGCTGTCAAGCGCATCCCTTCTGCCGCATGCATGACAGAGCTCCTAATTGCTCATTTCATCTTCTGCAATATGTGACAGAAACAGTTTTACATTTGGAAATAACTTCATTTGTTTATGCATATTTATGAAAGGAAAAAGAAGTCTGTTCCAATTTGGTTAAAACTTTAGTTTTCAGAAACCCAGGACCTAGTAAAGACAGCTTTTAAAAATGAAGCACTACTGATTGGCATCTTTAGATTTCTTGATTAAAAACCTAACTAAACTGATTACATTTTAGGCATTCTTTCAGTGATGAAGAGGTTCTTGGTGAAAAATTTGGGAACTATTTGGTGCTTAGTAGAAATATTTTGAATTAATGTATGTACCAGTTATTGCCATTTCTTTACCAAATTCAAAATTTTTCTGTCAAGTAAATATTTCAATTTTGAAAAAAAATGAAGCACTACAAGAAGTAGAAAATAAAGGGAGCTCTGAAAAGTTCTATGTGACAGAAGTTGTATTCAATGAGATCCAGGGTTTGTTTTCTTTGTTTTTCCTTTAGTTCCTTTTTGGAAAAGGAGTACATTGTCTATCTGTTCTTTGGAGGACATTAAATTTTTTTTGTTTTATTATAATGTTTGTCATTTCTTCTGTTTAGTATTTACTATTACTCATAAACTGAAAAAAAGAAAAGGAGAAAACTAACAGAGGCTCAATTCTCCAAAGTTTAGCTGCTTGTGTCTCTGTTTTTTTTTTAATCCTTACAAAATAAATATATTTGGTCTCATTGCTTAAATAAATTATTTTTTACTTCTTTATTCAGAGGAAAAGGTATTATAACTGCAGATTTGGACTCAGAGGGTCACCCAGTTCCAGAAGCAGATAATCTAAAAGTAAACATACAAATAATAGCCCTTGGAATATATAAGTATAGGGGCCAATGATGCCTGCCAGACTGTAAAGACACACAGTCCTTGTGGTGTAGGGCCTAAAATTAAGGCCCAATATTATGTGCTGCTTTGACATCTGGGGAAACCAGTAGGGCCTCCAACGGCCTAACTGCAAATTCCCCTTCCCACTCTGCTCCTGCAGAAAAGGTCCCCTAGCCAAACAACCCTCTTTATTAAAGGGACAGGTGCAGTTCCAGATTATCCCTGCATAGTGGATCTTATGTGTCCAGTGTCAGGTGTCCTATGTTCAGCTGCCCCATAACCCTAGGGAGGGATTACCTCTCTCACCAACAGGGTGAATAAGAGACCATTAAAACAGTCCCTGCTGCTACCTGGTTTCATCTGGACTCAAGATGAATTATCTTCTACATGCACAAATGCAAATTTCATCCAAGCTGTTCTTACACCTTTTGGTTGGGATTCTAAAATAACCTGTTTGCTTTTTGATTGACACAGATTGTGGGTGACCTTTCTGAAACATATAACTTGGAGAGGTAGGTCTCCAATATAACTCAGGACTATTTTTACTGTTCCTCCTCCAAGGTGTGAAACCCTAATAGCTAAAACATAATGTGTATTATGTTCCAGGCACTAAATCATTACAACAACCCTAAAAATGTCAGCACTATTTTTATCCCTGTTTTTACAGGTGAAGAAATGTACCTTGGAGAGGTTAAGTAATTTGCCCAATGTTTTGACTTCCTTAAATTAACATTTGTTAAGTGGAGCACAGGGTGCCAGATGGTGAGCCAAAGTTCAACAACAGACCACAAGAGAAATTGAAATAGAGAAGTTTATTACTCACAGGTCCGGTAGGAAGTATCCAGCACACCTCGAGGGGTTACATGGGGAGGTCAAGATAGGGTGCAGAGAGTGACAGGACCTGGGGCACATGCTTTTATTACAGTCCGTGGGTGGAGTGCTTTGGGGTTCCCAGGCTAGGGACATTTTGGTCAATTTAAACCAAAAGAGCGGGGGTTTTGGTAAGCCCCACGAGGGTCTTCTCTAAGGGGGCCATACAGCATACCGGCACTGGGAGGCAGAGGAGACTGCAGATCACAGGGGCTGTTAGGGAAGTCATATCAGGAACTTACATTTGCTTGTGATTTTACGGGTTGCTATCTAGGGCATGTGCTTACAGGAGAGGGCTAGACCCTGCAAACAAAATGGACGCTGAGGCAGCAACACCACAGAGTAGCTCAGGTAAACTCTCAATACCCAAAGTTATACAGGTATTAAGTGGCAAAGCAGGGCTTCAAACTCAGGCAGTCTGAATCCATCCACTATCTTCCTCCTCACTATGCTTTATTACCTTCCACTGCTGGAAGAATAAAAATCATCAAGACATCTCCCAACTGTTGTAATTTCAACCTGCCCCTCAATGCCTGTAATGTTTGTAAATTTCTCATTTTTAACACATTCAAGGCACTTGAGAGGTATGACTACTTACACAGCAATAATTAGAACTTTTCCTTCTTAAACTATTTTTCCGCTCCAATACTCACTTTCATTAGAGGAAAATTGATCTCACCCTTCCCTCATTCTTCAAGGTCAAGATTGAGACCATTTAACAAGACCTTTCTCAAGGTAGCCCCATTTGCAGTTACGCACATTGCTTTTCCTACGTTCATCCAATCCTGTCGTGGGGGAAGGTTTTCTCTTCTCCAGTTTAAACCCTTAATCTCAACCCTTCCCAACTCCCTACAAAGAATTTCCACTTACACATCCTGTTATCATCTCAAACCAATCTGTTCATTCATTCAACACACAATGGTTGAGCTCTTACTAAGTGCTAGGCACTGCGAATTCTGTGATGAGTAAAATCGGGCTCCTCCTTTCCACGAACTCAGTCTAGTGGGGAATAAAAACTTGCTCACAAATGATAACACAACGTAAATAGGTCTGGGACCCTTGGCCATGTCTTCTGCCAGACCAGAGGTGAAAGGGGGTGGAGGGGTCACAGCACCGTATGAAGGAGCCCAAGGATGAGTGAGAATTAAGGGAGAAAAAGGGCAAATAAGGAGCTGTCGTGGACTGAAGCAAAAGATGGAAATGGGCGCAAAGAAGGTAGAAAATGCTTAATTGGAACCGTTCAGAAGCGGGATGAGAGATGAAGCGAACTCTGAAGGCAAGTGGGCTCCTCAGAGCGAAGGTGCGGCCGCATCACTCACCTCCTCCCGGTCCAGGAGGCTGGGTCCCGGCTCGTCGCTCCCGCAGCGGCGCGAGTGGCGGCAGCGCTCAGCGGACGAGGACGCAGAAGCGGAAGGGGAGCACCGAGGTGCCGAGGGCAGCTCTCGCGAACGACACCGCAAGCCAGGGCCGCAGAGCTGGTTTCGGGAGCCTCGGCTGAGGCCACCCAGCTGATGGCTGAGGCCATTCCGGTCCCCGGGCCGAGAGCAAGAGTGCGAACGAGAGCGGCCGCCCCGCGGGCTCGGGGCTCTTCGACGAACTGCGATGCTTCCCACTCCGGGCCGCGCGAGCGAGACACTCGAGCCATTGTTGCCGCGAAAGAGGTAACACTCTCAAGAGCCCGGGAAGATCTCGGTCTCTTCGGCTCCCAGAACGCGCCGCTGCGCTACCCTCCCCCGCCCAACCAACGCTGAGGAAACCATTCCGGGTACGCCAGCAAAATCCTTCCCCAGGCTTACGTGGCCTCCCGCCGACGTGAAAGGGGTGTGTGCATCCGTGTAAATAAACCGCCGCTGCAATCGGTTCCTCTCATCCTTCCGGTTCCTCAGGAGGCGCGCTAGGTCCAAGTTGGATCGGAGACCGTGTTTTTCTCAGCCTCGTACTTGAAATGACCGAAAGGAAGGATGACAGACCACAAGATACATTTCACTGAGTGGCCGTATCACCAACACAGTCAATTCTGCTTGTGTTCCAGGTGCCTTCTGTGCGTGTGTGTTACATATTCTATACTATTGGATGCTTTTACTGTTTCTCGTGTGTGTGTATGTATGTACATACGTACATATACATAATATCAATATATGCACAGATGTGGGCGTCTATGTACATGTAGAATATATAGGAATGGCTCAAATCGAAATACATATTTTTTTCTGAGTCTATCCTGATTTCAAATAAAAATCTAAGTGGGACGAGAAGAAAAAGCACCAAGTATTCAAAGTATTTCCTATGCAGCTGACAGTGTTTTTATTTTAGTGTTGTCAGATTTAGCAAAAAGAAAAAAAATACAGTAGGTTCGCTTACATTTGAATTTCAGCTAAACAATGAATAATGTTTTAGTATAAGTATGTCCCATACAATAATAATGCACTATTAACTATTTTCTACTAAAGATGAGGAGATAGCCAATATTATACCTCCTCCCTCCTCTCCCACCACCTCTAAAATTTATTCCTTATATTCTAAGGCTTTTCACTTGTTGTTAGAGAAAATGGATTGGGAAGCAGCCCCTGATATCTGGAAGCTGACTAGCGCTCAGGCCATGTTCTTCTGTTGGACGTAAACTCACAGAACACCAATCTAAGACAAGGTCACTAGATGACTGACAACGTGAGACGAAATAAGACCACTTCATAATTTTGTCTAAGCACAGACAAAAAAAAAGTCACTGTGCCACCCAGAAAACACCAAACACCCCCTCTCTTGGCCAAAATGGGTGACTGCTACTTTATCAATTACAGCTTTATCTTTGCCCTAGTCTGCCCTCCCTATGTATGAGGTTATTGAGATGCCCAATCATACAATTGCCCCTGCTTTCTGACAGCATCTGATTTAGAGCGAACTGCCACTTCCTTAGACCCTCCCGTAAATCACTCAAATACTATAGTAGGTTCTTTCTAACATTCTCTTACTGAAACACCCCATGGTTCCCTATGGTGTTCATTCTCCCTGCCTGCAAAGAATAATAAACCCAACTTGTCAGCTATGAGTAAGTTCCTGATGGTCTTTGGTTGAAGGGCATTGACATGTTCCACTGCCTAGAGTGCTCTTCCCCAGATATTTGCATGGCTCTTTCCCTTAGTTCATTCCGTTCTTTGCTCATCCATCATCTTTTCAGAGAGGTCGTCCCTGACCACACTATTTACAATAGCACCCTCATTATTCTCTCCCCCTTTATGCTATTTATTTTTCTTCATAGCACTCATTACTATCTGATATTATGTTATATATTTAGATAATATGTTTACTGTATGTCTCTCCCATTAGAATCTAAGTTTCATGAAGACTGCGACTTCATCTTGATGATGATTGTATCCACAGTGTGTAGAGCATTGCCTGGCACGGAGTAGGTACTAAGTGATATGTATTTAATGAACAAATGAATGAATGGATTTTTATTGTGTCAGGGTTTATAATAGTTTCATTCTATCACATATTCATAACCTTGTTGTTTGGTCTTAGTCCTCCATTTACATAGACTGGCACACTGCAAAATGTCCATTCTTAATTCTTCATTTTGACTCATTTCTTATCAGATTTGATTTCATATTGCCAAGTAATTTTTCACAAAGGACACATTTGTAGTATATTCTCTCAACTTTTTTCATATTCGAAATAAGCTACCTGTTGCTTTTGGGGGGTAGATTGTATTATTGTCGGCAATATCCACTTCCTTTTTCTCAGTAGGAGGGTTATATATCCCTATCCAATTGACTTTAGAAGAAAAGGAGAATCAACTGTATCAAACAAGTCACTTAAAGAGAGAATTATTGGGATAAAGCAGAAAAGGGGAGAGTGATGAAAAAGCAAACATATATTTAGAACTTACTGGGTTCCAGACACTCATTCCTTCAATATTAAGTAACCATATCTGTCTATCATCTACCATCAAGGCAGGCTTCACAAACATGTTAGTGTTTGAGTTGTGTCTTTCTTGAAGACCAGGCACTTGCCAAACAACAGGAGAGGCACAGTGTGAATACAAAAGGAATGGTTATTACAGGTTTAGGGTTCCAGGCACAGACATGAAAGCAGTAAACACCATGTCATATTTTGGAAACTGTACACAGTTTGACACTATCGGTAGTTAACTCATTTAATCCTCAAAACAACTCTATGGGAAGGTATTATTATCTCTATTTTACATATGAAGAATCAGGCTCAGGGTCACACAGCTAAGTGGGAGTACGAGAATCCCAACCCACTCACATCTGCCCAAGTCTTTGTTATTTCCACTATACCTTACTGTGGTTTCTTTTTATACTTGTGTAGTGACCTTACTAAATCTGTGTAGCTAAGCATAACTCAGTGGAAGGGCTCTAGGACTGAATGAATGCCGTTTTTTATCTTTTTAAAAATTTATTTATTTATTTATTTATTTATTTATTTATTTATTTATTTATGGCTGCATTGGGTCTTCGTTGCTGCACGTGGGCTTTCTCTAGTTGCGGCGAGCCGGGGCTACTCTTCATTGCGGTGCGCGGACTTCTCATTGCGGTGGCTTCTCTTGTTGTATAGCATGGGCTCTAGGCGCGTGGGCTTCAGTAGTTGTGGCACGCGTGCTCAGCAGTTGTGGCTCGCGGGCTCTGGAGCGCAGGCTCAGTAGTTGTGGTGCACAGGCTTAGTTGCTCCGTGGCACGTGGGATCTTCCTGGACCTGGGCTCGAACCCGTGTCACCTACATTGGCAGGCAGATTCTTAACCGCTGCGCCACCAGGGAAGTCCTGGTTTTTTATCTTTTATTGTCATCAATTAATATATATTAAGCATCCACAAGATTCTTGACATTTTAACACAGGAGAGGACAGTTGCTGGCCTCATGGAATTCATAATCAAGTTCAAAAAAGGCAAAGGCAAGCAAACTGACACATGGTTATAAAACCTGATTCCATTATCAGCCAATCAAAAATCTTTTTAGAATGTGAAACAATTGATACCTCCAAATCCATTTGATAAAGGTTCTTGTCTTTAAAAGCTACTATGTTGTTTGAAGTAGGGTTAAGCCTTCAGATAAAAAGAAAGTGAAAGGTGAAATAACTTGTTGAGAAACAGAAAATTAATGAAACTTTCCAAAGACCTTGTCCCAAAAGCAGCTGTTAAGGCCACTCAGATTTCTTGGTCTGCTCTGCTTTTCCTACCAAAAAATTCCTTTTCTGATCATTGGATCCCCTTTAATTATAGGTAACTTTTTTCTTTTTAAATTTTTTTTAATTTGAAGTATAGTTGATTTACAATATTGTGTTAGTTTCAAGTGTACAACAAAGTGATTCAGTTATATATATATATATATATATTAATTTTTTCAGATTATTTTCCATTATAGGTTATTATGAGATATTGAGTATTGTTCCCTGTGTTATACAGAAAATCCTTGTTGCTTATCTACTTTATACATGGTAGTGTGCATCTATTAATCCCATACTCCCAGTTTGTCCCTCCCCCTCTCCCTCTACCCTTTGGTAACCATGAGTTTGTTTTCTATGTCTGTGAGTCTGTTTCTGTTTTGTATATAGATTCATCTGTATTATTTTTAGATTCCATATATAAGTGATATCATATAGTATTTGTCTTTGATTTATTTCACTAAGCATAATACTCTCTAGGTCCATCCATGTTGCTGCAAATGGCAATATTTCCTTCTTTTTTATGGTTGAATAATAATATTCCATTGTATATATATGTACCACATCTCTAAGCCAATCATCTGTTGATGGGCATTTGGATTGTTTCCATGTCTTGGCTTTTGTAAATAGTGCTGCTATGAACATTGGGGTGCGTGTATCTTTTTGAATTAGAGTTTTTGTTTTTTTACTGATATATACCCAGAAGTGGAATTGCTGGATCACATAGTAGTTCTATTTTTAGTTTTTTAAGGAACCTCCATACAGTTTTCCATAGTGGCTGCATCAATTTATGTTCTCACCAACAGTGTACAAGGATTCCCTTTTCTCCACACCTTCTCCAGCATTTATTATTTGTAGACTTTTTGATGACAGCCATCCTGAATGGTGTGAGGTGTTATCTCATTGTGGTTTTGATTTGCATTTCTCTAATAATTAGTGGTGTTGAGCATCTTTTTTTGTGCCTATTGGCCATCTGTATGTCTTCTTTGGAAAAATGTCTATTTAGGTGTTCTGCCCATGTTTTTGATTGGGTTGTTTGTTTTTTGGATATTGAGTTGTATGAGTTGTTTTTATATTTTGGATATTAACTCCTTGTCAGTTGCATTGTTTGAAAATATTTTCTCCCATTCTTTTAGTTTTGTTGATGGTTTCCTTTGCTGTGCATAAGCTTTTAAGTTTGATTAGGTCCCATTTATTTTTGCTTTTATTTCTTTTGCCTTGGGAGACTGAGCTAAGAAAATATTGCTACGATTTATGTCAAAGAATGTTTCACCTATGTACCTTTCTAGGAGTTTTATGGTGTCATGTCTTACATTTAGGTTTTTAAACCATTTTGAGTTTGTTTTTGTATATGGTGTGAGGGAGTGTTCTAATTTCACTGATTTACATGTAGCTGTCCAGCTTTCCCAACACCACTTGTTGAAGAGACTGTCCTTTCTCCATTGTATATTCTTGCCTCTTTTGTCATAGATTAATTGACCTTAGGTGCATGGGTTATAGGTAGCTTTTAAATTTTAGCTTAGTTTTTGCTGAGTTAGGGGCTGAGCGACATGGACAGAAGGGAAGAGACAGTTTCCTGC